TGGATCCTCTGATTAGAGGACCACGGCCCTCACCTAATTTTATAACCCTAGAAAGAATCATAATTGTACTACAACCATAATACATACAATAGGAATCTGTTAACACTTATACACAACGCACATATCTGTGTTATTATAACCTACTAGAGTACATAATACAACGACTGCATAGTCTGTTTTGCCATTATGGTCATTTAGCTGCTATTTAAAATCTAGGCTGCTAAAAATTAGTCATATACTTGCATTATATTTTATTACAGTATATGGGACTGAATTTTATATATTGCACAATGGCATTACCAAATAAAAAAAGTGAAAGAACAGAACTGCTAGAAAGGCATTTATTATCCAGTCCTGGTACAGTGCAAACTGTGATAAAGTATATGAATTTGGCGCTGGCTGGAAGAATCCCGATGCGCCTGTGGCTGAAAACATGCCAAGCAGGAACCCATAAACCTAAGGCTCAGTTGTTGGCTCGATAGAAATTACCACGAGACGTTCGAAACAACTGCTGAATTTAGTTCAAATATCAGGCTTGCCTGGAAGAAGGCCCATCAGATACAAATGGAAAAGCTGGGATCGATTAATCACTTCGGTGATCATCTCATTACGTTGTATTTAATTAAACCGTTTCTGTGCTGCTTTACGTTTATGCTAAGTGTGAATTGACAGGTAAGAATCCCGTGACTAATATGATATATGCATCTCAAACAAAAATACATTCAGCGCTTCAGAAGTGCACTAATGGCCTGCCTATTTTAAAGCTTGAAATTCCCATGGGCTTGATTGTTGTTTGTGGCCACTGAGTTGTGCGCATATGTAAATACACACTGCAGACTAAATTACGCACGCGACGCGGTACCACTGACTTCAAGTTAACAAACAAGGAAAGTTGAATGAATAAGTATAAATTCTACCTTTGGAAAGAAATGTCGAATAAGCGCTTCAGAAATATGTGACGGGTTTATCATGTCTAACCATTCCATTACGTACCGCCAAGTATCCAGCTGCTGGTTACATGGGTTTATGACAAACGTCGACAAACACCTCTCCAATTTTGGAACGATGTGCTGAGTTACGAAGGTGTCAAAACTGCTAGCAGAGAACACGTCCTTCCATGGCCTAAATAAAATGCGAATACCAGGTTAATCGTGAAGGGAGATGCGTAAAAATCGCTAAAATCTTTAAAAATATTATTTAACCTGAGAATCATCTTAGCCGACCCGTCGCTTGGATGCCAATGACTCAGAGCGCGACCGAGTTTTAGTCGGATGGGCGAGTACAGAGGCTGCAGTCGGTCACCCATCAACGGAAGCCACGGATGAATCCATTGATGAATCGGTATGGTGTCTTTTAACGGGTTCCAGCTGTGAAAACAAAAGAGAATTCTAAACATTAAAGAGACAAACCTAAAATTTTCGATTACTTGTCGACTTCGTTCTGCAGCCGAGGTAATATGACCTGCTCTAAAATATTTTCCAATATCCATAACGGCAACGCTTCTTTCCATTTATCTATCAGCATAACCATTATGTCCGGATTTCGAGGATCCCATTTCCTAAATTGTTAAAACCATCAGTCGAAAGTTTTTCGTCGACAATAAAACGCAATACTATAACATCAAACATGCTTCAACCGCTCAGTGATAAACATACCACTGTTATTTTAAACTTAAAAGATGACAAGCAATAACGACAACGAGTTTACTCATGTAATGTTTACTATTTAGTCTAGGAAATAAGATGAAGGAAAGTTCAAAACAGTTGGATGCTGGTCTTCTTTATACTTTCGTGCCTGGACGTAATCTAAGGCATAGCTTTTTCACGGAGTTCATAGTGTGGCACTAAACTCTGTTTCTGCTTCATCAATCAGGAAAGAAACGCACCTAAATCCATACTAATCCGCATGCAATATGGCGAGACATTTAGGTATAAGCACTATAGTCCCTGTGCACAGCGTAAAAGACGATAAAACGTACATTAGTAAGGAGTGTCATACTGTCTTTTAGAGACCATATCGTCAGATGAACTGCATAGCAAGTAGTCTAACGTTTACTTCCCTCAAAGTATCACACTCTTATCTACATCAGACGGATAAAAGACGAATGACCGACCGAGGTTCGAACCCTGAGTTCCGACTGAGGGTAACATATCTGTATAAATATATACCTGTTCCGCTGTCGGTCTAATATCCACTAAACGAAGCAAAACAAAAATACTGACCACACAAACTATACCATACAGACTATAGAGACTAATTATACAATGTACTACAGTAATTCACCGTACAGTGCGGCTCGCCGAAAGACGGGCATCCAGCACTCCCAAATGATCCTGTGGTACAAGTTCATATCTTCAATTTTCGTACTGTGATTCCACTCGCCGCTTTCGTCTAAAATGCCCCGCCATTCGCGCATCAATTCCACGTCACTGTCGGGGTTATCGAGCGGATTCCACTCTGAGAACCGGGCGTGCATCTGAGAAAAATGCGTAGAACAGTCAATGGTATCAACAAATGGCATTATTGCAAATTACCAACTGAAGTACAGGGCAAATGATAGCTCTGGGCAAGTCATAAAGTTTGTACTCTTCGTAGTAATTCTTTCGTAGTTTACACAGGAGTTCGAGACAGTCTTCAAGCGTCAATGACCCATTTTCTTGACACGTTTTGAACCTGAAGTGCACACCCCAACAAGTAAATTAATAGAAGGTCGACTGAAGTCTACCTGTTGAGTTCGTCAAGAAACGACGAAAGGTTGCTAGTAGCTGCTTCGGCTTCTTGAAAAGAGTCCATGCGAATTTTTTCTTCATGTTCAAGCGTTACCATTTGGTCCTGTATCACGTACAGAGTATGATCAATTTGTGCTCTAATTCATTTATCATAATTGAATAAAAAATAAAAGAATCTCTAACTCCACTACACACAGTTTGGAGACACACACAATAATGGGCCTCTAGTCACACTTGTATCATTTCTATTTGAGTTGTACATGACACTACATAACTAACCTTAAATGAGAATGTGTACTATAAAAAAATGCTACCGATAAAACAGAACCTAAAAATACGAACTGCCAACCGTATTACGCTACATGAATGCACTTTCATAAGGTGCCAACATCAATTAAAAATTGAACAACTGTGCATAATATTTGAATTTGCCGGTCAGTTCACATATCTCACTTCGACCTACGGCTAAAGAGCTCATCGTCTGCTCTTCAGAACATGATAGGGGAGATGAGATACATATAATAGAATGCTAGAACAGAAATGTTTAGTTGGTGGTAAAATATTCGCTAGAAACATGCACTGGTGGTAGATGCGCAGGGAAAATGAAGAAAAGAAGGACATGAGTAACATCAAAACACCAAAACCTCACCTGTACAGTCCTCAGCTGCCGCTCGTTCACAATAATAGCGTCCTCAGCCAGTTTTACGAGCAACTCGAGGTTAAAAACAAGTTCAGGTATATCAAAATCCTGTCGTGACGTCATCGGTTCCAGCATTTCAATCGGCATCCTGCAAAAACAAAAAGACAGATCCTAAAACAGTTTTAAAGTGAACTTTAACCTCTTAACGTACTTAGTTCTTGTTTTGAATGCTTCATAGCCAGTATAGACCCGTTGCTGTTTGCCGGTCATATCGATTACCTGCAAAATATAAACCCGTAAAGGCATTAAAGACGAAGGGCATGCATTAGACTAAACATTTTCTGCAAGGCCAAGAAGTAAACAAAAGATACTTATGCAAGTATGCATGTGGACTATATTATACGTGGACTGTGTTTCAGCACTGTATAATGGAACTCCCACCTGGCGCCCTAACGCTTAAAATGTGCGTACATAATATTCACAAGTTAAAATCCTACATAATTAAGTATATTAAGTTGACGTGTGCAAGAACAATACTGAGAGTAGCTAACAGTATCACCAATCGCCTTTGTCGATCCCCTGCTTCATGAATCCATCTCCAAGAATTTGCCGAAAGCTTCTGTTATCCGTCATTTTCATCCATCTCGATCCAACAAACTTTTTAATTCCATTATCAACCTGCAGATGGTTACCGACAGCTCAATCTCTCTTGGAACCTGGTCAGACGTAGCTCTTTTGCAATGTGTCCAGCCAATTGCAACTCTAACTTCTTTACTTGGGTGATGACATGGCAGAATCTCGTTTATGCTCATGCCCGTTCATTCGTCTTCCCAGTCGTTATTGCTGTATCTTACATCTTTCCATGCTGCGTTGCGTAGTCTCCTATTTATAAATAGCTTTCAAGCTTAGGAGTCTACCTTTCTCGTCCACAGGTTAACAGTGGAAGCACACACTGACATATTACCTTCCGCTTCGAGCACAAGGGAAGCATAAGGATAAAAGAACTATTTCAATCTATGAAGTGTTCCATGCTATTATATTGTACCGTTGATTCAATATAGTTGATTTCCTGCTGCAGAGATGAGCAGACTATATAGACGCAATTCTGCATTTCTTCAATGCCAAGTCCTTTGACTTAGACAGTGTGGTCACGTATTTTTTGAAAATGACATATACTGACCTTCAGGTTCATTCTCAGTTCTACTTTCATGATGCACTGTTCAGTCCTTGGATTCTACTTTGCAATTCTGTCATTGGGAGGATCATTCACAAACAGCAGTTCGCCTAAGTAGTGCCCATTTATATTCATCCCAAGATTTTCTGAACAGAGTGACTTAAAAGCGTCTTCTAGGGCTGTTATGAATGTTTCAGTGATATTGCATCACCTTATCGAACGCCGTTATCTACTTTGAACTTGACCGTGTTTTCGTGAATATTCACACTAGCAGCCGTATTTTTGAAAATCATTTTGTAAATTCTTATAAATGGCGATGAGGCCTCTGTAGCACTTCACAATTACCTGGATCCTCAGGGAATAAAATACAGAAGGGATGATACGCTTTGTCGAAAGAACTCAGACAAAGAGTAACCTGGCATTCGTCGTTTCTCTGAGATACTTGCTAAACTACTGGAGATTATCCACAATTCTAAGTTTAATTTTGAATCTTGCTTGCTCCTTTGGCTGTGAAGCGCCCATTTCTTCTTGAAGTCTGTTCGACAATACCTTCGTGAAGATCTTGTAAATGATTCGCAGCAAAATACAGCTTTTAAAATCCCTTCTATCCCCCTTTCCGTGGAGTAGAATCACCGATAGTTCAATGGTTTGAAATTTTCTGTTCCTTCACACAACGTGAAAACAAGCTCCCAAAATCTTGGTCAATGCTTCACCTTCAGATTCCACGAGTGCCACTGTAACGCTGTTTCCGCGATGATCCTATCCTGTCTTAGACTGTTTTATAGCATACAACACTTCTTCTGACAAAATACATGGAGTTTCGTCAACTTCATTCGTACCACCTGATTTTTATCGTCAGTTAGAGTGTTGCTTTCCTCATCTTTGGACAATTTTCTATAGAAATCGACCCATCTTTTTGGAACCTCTTGTAATATCCCTGATGGCAGATCCGTATTCCGTTTCGAGAGCTAAAGATTGTTGTTTCTAAACCGCCACTCCTTCATTCAATTCCTTCATGCTGTTTCGGTTGTTTTCAACAGTTTTCTTATCCAGTCTGCAATTGAATATTCAGATGTTCTTTTTATGTATTTCCTTAAAGTTCTGGAAAGTTCCACATACTCAGTGTTTGATTTCTGATCTGCTGCAGTCTTCATTTCGCAGAGTTTCTTCATTGGTTCTCTCGTCTGTTTCATGCATATTCAGTTGACCTTTATAATCCTTGTTAATGAGACGTTTTTCGGTATTTCTGTATCTGTCATCTGTATATTCTGACACTTAAGTCGACGTCCACTGCTTCCCTTGCTTCTGCCTTGCTGTATTCCGTGAAAGACGTCGACTCGATTATTTAATTTGAATTGGAACAACAGGAAGTCTTATTTTAGTGTTTCCATATTGGATATCTGACGTATCATGCTCAGCAATATCAGTCTTCCCGAAGTTGAGTGAAGGCACACTTTGCACTTGACGAGTCGGTATTTACTTCCGGCACTAATGTCTTCATGTTGCTGAGAATAACACGTGTTTTATTCTTGACGCCGACTGAGCCATTCCATGTCCACTGTTAGCTTACTTCACCTGAAAAATGTTTTCATGATAAATAATTCATACTCATTCTTTCTAACAAAGTACACTGGTCAGTCACTTCTGCTGCTCCATTCGCCGTAACCGAATCGGACCACAGGGCATTTGCTGCGATCCGACTTTAGCATTGAAGTCACAAATGATGAATTTGTAATGGTTCTTTTCATCTTCACACCCTTCTTCGAGTTCTTTGCAAAAATCTTCAGTATCCTCATCAGGATGGCTTGATTTCGCAGCATACACATGGATCATTTGGAGTTCGCATCTCTTTTAAACTCTCATAACTTATACTACTTTGTTGCTCAATCTTTTGTGGACAATGAACCCTACTCCCTCTGTAATTCCACTTGCTGATCTTATCTAGTACAGATGCCACCCTTAAGCACTAACGGCTTCTACTCCTTTCGAATAACTTTATTGAGCTTTACAATGTCCCATATAATTTCCTACATTTTTCTCCCAACTCTTTAATCCTTGCTTCGCCTAGAAGTGTTCCGCAGTTGTATTACTGCCAGCATTAGTAAACGGTAGAAGATTCAATTCACAACCCGGGTATTCTTAGCGCTCTTTGCCTTCATGCTTAACAAGTTACTGCCTTCGTCGGCGGCAATCCAGCTTCAGGGGAATGATGGCCACGGTTTTAGTTATGATTTTTTCTAGGAGGATTTGGCCTATCTCGTCAATCTGGCCAGGTGGGTTCATGAGCGTTTATTCTTACTTGACAGGCATATTTTTTAAAGCTTTCACAGCATCGTTCAACCTACCAGTGCCTAAAGTCTAATGGCTGTGCTGTACATCGAGAATCCGTCAATACCCTTCTATTACGTTGGGATGGTGTAAGTAGGACCTAGGATTGAATACTGCTGTCATGAACACTGATGATATCCATTACACCAATATACGCACATTTACTGTACAGATATTTATTATATCGTTACATGCACACTGCAAGTATATGCTATATAAGCAAAGCTGCCATGTTACCATCTCTATAGTATTACATTAAGTCCACTTACGTAGAATTTACGTTAAGCTTACTGCCTGAAATCCCTATCTACAATTCTCAGGGTAAACGACATGACATTTGCGAACGGTTACAACAAATTTGGCCATAATTTGGAAGTAATCAGGACAATTTTTTTCTATCGATACATTTGTATATCACAGTTTGCATGTACATCCTATGTATGCCTAGCACAGGATTCACTGATGGGGGAAGCAAATCATAAAAAGCTAAAAAAATTTGATGAAGAACCATGGGCCGGCATAAAGAATTTGAAATTTTATAAATTTTAAAACTATTTAAAGGCTAACTAAAATGCAACTTCATGTTGATACAATCAGAAGGCAAAAAAACCATTTAATCAGGTGGCCGGCGGATGATATCAGCAAAACGAAAAAACTGGATTAACTAAAAAACACAGATGCATTCCAAAACACGCAGCGCAGTCATTTATTATCATTAGAATATTTTTATATATATTAGCATTTATTTTGCCTACCCAGATGTCTGTCACCGGAAGCTTACTGG